TATGTTATTGAATACATCTGAGTGTGCCTATTTTGTAGTGACATATGAACTGTGGTACAGCTTTCACTTGATTCAAATGAACTGATTTAGATTAACTTCATAAAAGGAAAAAGAAACAATTGACTGGTCTGTTCCTGGAAAAAAGTTCCCTGCAATCAGACTGAACAGAAGAATTCTGTGACCTAACCTGGAAAAAACTAATGTCACAAGCAGTTACTGTGTGTAAGCACTGTAAAATACTGTATATAAGGCTTAACTAATTGTCCAATGCACACACCTTTAATGATTTCCAAAACCCTGTTAAGTCCCCTATGTAATATCAAAGGCATACAAACAGAAAACCACCTTCCTTAGTGCATGCTGCTTTCTCAAATATCATAGTAATATTCTGGGGGAGAAAAAAAAGCACCTGTTTTTCTTTAGTTCACCTTGTCAGTTCTCTTCTGGTAGAAGTCAGAAGAATTTCTGTTTAAATGTTGGTCAAACTCTTATCCTTGTTAAGTCTCTTTCTTTGTTAAAACAGAATCAACTCAAGTTCATAGTCCAAAGCCTGAATATGTTCAGTTCCATGTGGGACAGGTAATAAGTCAGAAAAGATGTGGCTATTCCGGAGTCATTGTCGGATGGGATGTAACAGCTGACACTGCAGAAGAATGGCTTCAACCCAAATATCCTCCAAGGAAACACGTTTGAATGTACTAAACTCTTGCTTTATTAATACATAAATAGAATAACTCAGGTTAAAAAAGCACTTGGAAATACTATTTCAGACCTCCTTCCTGCTATCCTACTGGGAAATACTCCAGAGTCCCATATCACTTGTGCAGCTGAGCGGTACCTCCACTGCTTCTGTGCTGTGGTCCCAGTAGAGCTTGGCTTTTGTACCACTGGTTGGTTAAGCTTCACTGGTCAGGATTTTACTGGACATATCTGAAATTAAAATTACTCACTTTTAATACACAGGCTGTATTTAAAGTAGCAGTGTCAACCTATTATGTCTGCATGGATTTCTTGTGCTGTGCTACTAAAGTTGAGAGGATGTTAAATCTTTTATATGATCATCCATAACTGGTGACATCTTCATTGCACCTAAGAAATGCAAGTAATTGTCTGTGTTTAACCAGTTTCAGTTATCTGGATACTTGGAGTGCAAATCTATTTAAAACCACATTTTTGTTAGAATTCTTGAAGTTTTTGAATTTCTCTAGCCTAAGTACTTGTTGTCCTTGAACAATCAAAAGCTAAATCTTTGTTGACAGTGCTGATCTGGTAATACAGTGCTGCCTACTCTGTATGCCACTGACATGCTGCTTAAGTGGCAGGAAGACACTAATCACGAGGAAATTTCCTGAAACTGAGGAAAAAATGAAAAACTTTGCTTGTAGCAGAGAATTCATGTTCAGCTGGGAACAGATACTCAGTCCTGTTTTGTGCATTTGGTTCCATCACTGCTGTTATTTTATCCGACGGCTGCTCATCTTTGGCTCCTAAAACACCTGCGTCCTTGCTTTCTTTTCTGCTCTCAGTGGCATTGTCACCAGCTGAACTCCCAAGAATTTCTCAGCAGACACTCCTATTCTTTTTATGCACCTTATAATTGTTCTACTCTCCCAGTGGCCTTGTGTTCATCTTTATTGTTTCAATTTCAATAGCAATGGCACATGGTTTAAATGTGTCTTTTGCTGGCTTTGGTATTTTTTAATTGCCTTTACCTATCATATTACATGCATTAGCTATGCAAAATGCCTTCTGACCTCTAGGCAGCAATTACTAAGCTTGGTCCTTGCAAATCCCCTTGAAAGATCAGCCAGGCTTTCAGCCCAGCTTTTCCTTGCCTTCCTCTGACTTCCACATCTTTACTAAATTGCTGAGCAGAGGCCAGTGCCTGTCACACTGATCGATACTGACTGCTTCCTAAGCTCCGGCCGTCTGTGTTCATCCATCACTTTTTTGTATTTAGATTCTGGGTTACTTTGGGCAGGAATGTTTATGGATAGCAATGAACATGGTGGGACCTTGGCCCAGGATTTGTTTTCATAGGTACTTCTTTGATGGAAGATTTATATATATACACACATAGAAGTTGCCTTAGCTCTCTCCAGGATCAGGACTACGACTGTTGGAGGTGGCATTATGTTCTGAATTTGCCTCTTCCTCTCTGGAGTTCTGCTGCCACTTGTGAAGGAAGAAGGGTCATAACAGATTGTCATGGGACCTACATACAAAAAGCAGGGATATTACAAGGTCTGCAGGAGAAAAGGTTAATTAAAGTCTTGACTCTTAAAAAATGTTTCAGATGTGGCAAGAATTTTGTGTATTGCAGTTCTGATTGCTTTATATTTAATTTTCCAAACTGACCCTGGTAAAATAATAAAAATGAACTGGCTGTATGTATATATCAAGTGGATTTAGGTTCTGTAAGCCTACTGAGAGTTATCTTTAATAATCTTTAGTAATCTTTAGTCAGCATCTCTCTTTGAGGCTATTTATTTTCTTTCTATTTTTACAGGATCTAAAAAATACTCCTCACTATCGAATTCTAATTAACAAAGCAAATGGATTTGGCAAATCTACAGCTTATGTTCCTGAGGAAGAGATAACAATTATTATGGGATTAAAGGTAGTATTTATTTTTTATTCAGTTGCAACTTGATTGTTATCCTGTATATTTAAAAAGTTGGATGACCTTTGGCTTAATAGATACTACCTAGGTTGCAAAGTTAGTGAAAACTAATAGAGAAAGCAGATGAATAAATTACTGCTGTACTTTCAAGCATGGGTTTTTGGAAACTGAAAAATGACCAAACTCAAGTACTACCCATTATGAAGTATCCAACTGCGGAGTTTTTAAAGTGTTTTAGCAATTTGATTTCTGTTATGTACAGACTGTTGTAGACACAGACTTTTGTTTTGGGATTTCTGCTGGATCTAGCAAATTGGTTTCTCAATGCTGCTCTGAAAAATCTGCATTTCAAACAGCTCCTGCTCAGCTGCTGCCCAGCCTGAAGAATGTCTCCTTTCTTAACTGCAAAACTCTTTAGGAGCCAAAATATCTGCTTTGTGTATCAGGGTTGGAGTAGCTTTTGATTTCCATCTTATGCAAGGCATACCTGATTTTTAAACTAGTTTTGAGATTTTTATCCAGAAAACAACCTTCAGGTATGCATGCCACATACCAGTGGCTTTTTGCCAGGAAGCCCTGGCTGCTGTGGTGACCTCTTTTAAATTGTAGTTAGTCTCTGTGTTTAAAATGACAGCAAGTAGGTGAATCATTTGTCTAACAGAGATGCTGGGTCTAGTCAGATGAGATTTGAATTGACATCTTCTGCATTTTGGGAGATGCAGAAGGAATCGGGCTGGCCTAAAGACTCTCCATGCTCTCTCTTGAAACTGCTGCCCATAAAGGATTCCCCCTCAATCACAGTGTGACACAATTACCTCTTTTATTTGGGAGAAGCCTTAGTTAGTCCTTCTGTTTTAGCCAGCATTGATATACAAAATCTGTTAACATGCCTGAACTTAGAAGCAGAAACGCCACCATCCTACATGAGTGTCCTAAGTATTTAAAATTGGCTTCTGTCCACTCTGTGTCTAAAAAAATAACCTTTCATTATTTCATTATGTCAGTCAGCTGGCTACCTTCAGTTTCCTTTATATTCCATGGGGAGAAACAGATACCTCATCTTAAATATTCATCTTGTGGAAACTAGCCTTTAAGATATCAGATTGCTTTATTCACCTGCATGGCAGGTCAATTCTCCACCCAGATTATTAGGGGAACTGATGGTACAAAGCTCACAAAACCAGGTATTTTAAAGTTGTCTAGCTGAGATTAATTACAGATTGTGAATCACGCCTATACTTCAAGTTCAAAAGATCTGTGGATTGCCCTCATTCAGCCTTTCCTACAGCCTAATAGGCACAGTAATTTCCTGAAGAGAGGAGTGACCAGAAAATGCTTAGACTTGTCATAACTCCCAGTTGACAGTTCTCAGCAGCTCACCGTGGGCTTCCTGCATCACAACAAGGCTTGTAACTTGGATTGCCCTTTGTGGGTTTGCGTCTTCATGCAGGACATTGCAGTACCTAAGGCCATCACACTGGTGCGTCTTCACCATTTCCCCCACTGCTTTTTTGTGTTCTTGCTGCCTCACTGGATTAGGTAACTGATCCAGCTAAAAGAAATAACAAATAGTTCTAACAGCAACACGAGTGGGAGCTACTTCAATAAGAAACAGTGCTGATTTTAAACACTGTAAATCTAGCGTGTAACATCCCACGCGGTATGTTCAAGACTAGTAGAGTACTTGAAGAAAGCTGCTGTTCTGATGACAGAAATTAGGTTAAGGTGCACGAAAAATCCCACTGAAAGCATCTCTATGTACATGAAAAATTCATTAGGAGTTTTCAAAAAGTTAACTATAGCAACTTTGATGATTTATTTAAGTATCAGATTGTATTTATTTCCAATTCTGGTGCTTCTTTGTTTCTCAGGTGTATCACCCTGATATGGAAACCTACTTCAGAGGATATGACGGATCAAATATATTATGCAGCCATGGTTGAAAAAACTCTATCCTCATGACTGAGCACTTCAGTGTCTGTACATGTAATGTACATCCAGACAACAGATGTCCTTTTTAAACTTGAGCAAACAGACACCAGGATAAAATGTATGATTTTTCCTATGACAAAATAAAACATTCCTAAACACTTTTTATGTTGAACACTCAATTTTGTTAGAAGTGAACATATTGCATGTTCAGTTTACCATGACTCAGGGTGGGGATTAATTTCTTTAGAGATTTGGGAGTAAAGGCGTAAATGCAGCCCAGTTTCAGCCAGGAGTACCAAAGGTTCTGTGCATCAAATATCTTGCTGTTTTACAGGGGCCAGAGGAATAAGATAAGCAGTTGTGAACTGCACTTACAGAATTAATTGTAACCTTAATTTTAGGGGCTAGAACTACTATAATAATAAAGTAAAAAACAACAAAAAACTCAAGAAAGCATAAAAATTTTATTAAGAAAATGTATAGGATTTGAAAGTTTCTAGAGCAACTTGTTTCTTCTGTGTTCTTTCCCCTTTATCTCAAACACAGCAAACACTCTAGAAGATGCATAAGCAGTAGCACTCTGGATTCTTTCCTGCAGAGTCAGTGAATCAGCAGAGCGTGGCAGGTAACTGTCTATGTGGCCTCCCCATTCTTTTGTTCCTTCTTCTTTTATCAGTAAAGGTTTTCCCAGTGACTGGCCAAACAATCGACAGACTTCCTGAGCTTTCCGCCGCGTGTTTCCAACAGCAGCAACACATACTTGACGGCTGAGAGACAGAAGCAGCAGCACAGTAACAAGCAGGGCCAACTGATGTACAAGTGTTCCTGCCAAGCCTTTTTGTGCAACTGCATAGATGTTAAGGCACAGCACCTTCCCCCAGCTTCTGGGCCACAGCTTGGGCATTTGAGAGGAGAGTGTGGAGAAAATGTCAGCATCCTCATGAGTTCCAATCAAGCATTTCTAACACCTGTATGCTGCAGGCATCCCTGCTGTGTCATGCAAAGGAAAAGTTCATCCCTTGCTCCAAGCATTGCAGTGGCCCAGCAGCCAGGCATACTAGCACCTGTTTAACCTCACTGGCCTGATTCCCTGATCTCCTGTGTACATACCTCTGACATACACTTTTGACATCTCCACAACCATTAAGAGCAGCTAATTGAGCTTGCTTCTTGGACCAAGAATAATTATTTTTTTTAAAGAAGAAACCCCAAACAAGATTAAACTTCCTTCTGCCTCCTCAAGTCAGTGGGAGAAAACAGACTTTGAATAGTCAATGCTTAAAACATGTCAAGATCACGAGCTTCAGGGCAGCATATTTCGATGCTGAGGAAATGCCAGACCTGGTTCTTTCCAGAACATGTCAGCAGCTAAGAGTAATGGGAATTGGCAAGGGTACTTAGAATTATCAACCTCTGGTAAACTCTTCCACCTTCATGAATAAATACAAATTAAATCTACACGTGCTGATGGAACCAAAGCCAAATTCTGTTGACCTAGCATTCACAGAAGATTATACTTCCAGTGGAAATCACTGGGAGAATATTTTTTATTACATTGTGCTTTTTCACCTAGCTCTGTCTTCTGGGCTGAACAGCATTAATTTATAAGTTATACTTAAAACAAATGCTGAAATCTTTGAACATAAATTTTAATAAGTGTGAAGGAAACTATTTACTCCCATTTCAAACAGCATAAGTTATGTACTTATGTTAACTGAGGCTGTAAAATTTGTGGTGTGTGAGAGAACTTACCGAAGGGTGTCTATGGCTTCTGGTGTATGGTAGAAATGAGGTGGACTGATGGTAACAGCGGTTCCTAACTTTTCAATGAGTAGATTGCAAACAGTCTGCATTTTTCCAAAATCACTGAATATAATACTGACCTGGGAGTGAACACAGACATCACATGAGTAACTTTTTCATTTTCCACTATCAATACTTGTATTTAAATCAGTATAAAGCCAGACATGTACAAGGTAGCTAAACATACTAGTCCTGTATATCACTCCAACATTTATTTACTTAAAAGACTTTTACATAGCTCCAGAGACTATTATTAGGTTTGCAACAAAAGAAGTTCATTAAATGGTTTAAAACTGAGGATTAAGAAATCCCTTTTTGTGAGGAAGTATGGCATTCTTGGTATGTAGACAATCTGAAGAATGAATGTGCTCTTTGGGGCACATGACTAAATGCATCCTGGTTCTTCCCTTTTTAGATTACTAGATGTTAATTATGAAGAAGTGCAAGCAAAATGATGTGGAAAACAATGCACAGGAAGAAAAATTACATTTTAATTCCAAGCATTAGGTTCAAGAAACCTAAGATATGAGATTAAGCCTAGCCCAGTTCAGTGTAGAGGGGGCTCCAAATCCTGTGTTGTCTGAACACTGTAGGCACTGCAGTGCCTACAGAGACCTGGGCACTTCAGTTCAGATACCTGGATTAAAAACAAATTAAACACCTAGCTGTTGCTGGCTTTGGCAATAAGAAGCATTAAATGCAGATCCATCAGGAATTCAGGTGATTTCCCAAATGCTACAAAGCAGACATCACTATCAGCCCTGGATCCAGAGCCCTACAACCTTCCTTGTGGGAAGCGCTGGCCAGGCAGCAGCTTTCCAGGCAGGAGCCAGCCCTTCTCTGTGGCAGACCACAGTTGCCAGGAGTGAAACAGCACTCAGGAACCAGAAATTCAGGGTCCCAAACTTTTTTTAGAAGAACTAAAGCCTCATCTTCACTTCCCAGTATAGTGCTCTCACCCCAAGTCATGCTCAACTTCTCTCTTATCCCCGACTCCTTTCCTTTTGCATAGTAATACAGCTTCAATAGGTGGAGAAGCAAAAAACTGTAGTAAAGAAAATTCTACTGCCAAACCCTGTGACATACAATTGCCCTTGTGATTGCTGCAGTCCTGTGAAGGGATATGGCACAAAAATCCAAGTTATGGCATGTCAGCTGCACCGCAGCAGCTTTCTGTGTGCGTACCATAGATTCACCTTGTGGAAAACGAGACAATTCAAAGACGCTGAGTCTCTCAGTGAGAGAGGAGGGAGCTACTTCATATACAGGCTAAGATAAAAAGCAGTTATTGACAATTATCACAACGTAAATAATGTTCACATCTTGTTACCCTTGACAGCCTCTTGGTATAGTACTTGCACCTCACCCTGCCTTGGATCCTTGCACTGGCTCAGTGGCTCTTCACACAGCTGAGCCAAAGCTGAGCTTAGGGCCTTAGAAACTGAGCGGGATGAAGTGTCAGGGCACATCCATCTTCTGTGTTGACTAAGGGTCACACCTATTGTTCAAAATTGCACCAAATCTGCATCTTCACCTCAGCTGCACATCCTTTATCTGCAACTTGGGGGTTCGATCACTTTCTGGAAGGTGCAGTATCAATTTGAACAGAGACTGAAGACGAGGCTACACCTAGATTTCTTTCTTCAGTAGGAGTTCTTGCCGTACATATAAAAAGCATATATCCCCTTATGATGTTTTGCCAGAAACATGTCATAGCTGTATTTTGTGGAAATTTGAAAGTCTCACTATGAGGGGCTGTCACAGCGTTTTCCAGATTGCTATCAGCATTTCCAAGATTAGTTCACTCAAGGGGATGAAACAAAAGAATGATCAAACAAAAGAACTGCGGGTCTTAAGTAGAGGATAAATTGCTCAGTCTGGGGCAGTTCTGGGTAGCCAGCAACTTAAAAAAGAAGCATTTATCAGATACGCTCAGGGGCAGAAAACAACTGAGCAATAGCTGAATTTTGCTGTTCCTGTGCCCCTAAAAAATCATGATTTTTTCATTTAGAGGTAGATCTGATAAGTTCCATTTACAGAGAATACTTAAACATTAAAATGCAAAGAAGTGTTTCAACTTCATCGGTTATTACTGTGAGAAAGTAATATGAGGGTATGCAAAACTATTACAGACATTTCAAGGCTTAGAGAAGGCTGAAAAGGACAAGAAGTTATGGTTTATAAGTGTATCAAGAAATGTACAAAACCAACATAATCTTCATCCCATGAGAACGTCATGCAATAAACGAACTATTATGATTACGATATTATAGAGCTTTGTGATCTCATACACAACTTCATTCTTCTGCATATTTTCCTTTGTTATAGCATGAATTAAAATTTATCTCACTACAGTTGAAAGCCCATCTTGAGTTCTTCATTATACTTTAAAATGGCTATTTGCCTGAGAATTTCTTCAGTCTTCTAATAACTCTTACAGCAGACAAATGGTAAAAAGAGTTTATAGAATGAACTAACGGATGACTTTCAAGATTTTACATATAACACAGATATAATGGCAAACTCTTAACAGAGAAGTGAGTGGAAGTGAGTTTTAAATCCATTTATATTGCTAAAGTATGCACACATGCTGGTCAATGCAACTGCACTGGTTTATGAAGCTGCACTAATGAAACAAGTATATACATAAAGGGAGAAGCAAGGAGAAACTAATCTCCGCATAAAGAGTGACCACACTGCTACCTAAGCATACAGGACAGCCAAAACAACAACACTGTGGCTGGATTCTTCAAGTTCTGACACCTGGGTCCTAGGCAACCACACAACTTTTGACCAGCAATTACAGCTGGTCCAAGCTGCTTACAAATGAACACTAAATCCAAGTCATTAGCTTTCCATATAGAATCTTTGTTTTTTTTATAAAAACTAATAGCAGAAGACAGACAATTGGTTAAGTTACCACTTAAGACTGAAGTTGTAAGCCTAAACTTGCCTGTAGCTTACATAGTAATTCAATATAGTTCTATTATTTTTTAAGTACAGGTTATCTAAAAAACATGATGATTTAAGCTCTCAAGATAGTAGGTGTCTACATGATGAAGTTAAACATGACACTGATTCACACCATTTAAGTATTTTAAGACTCATTTTAAAATCAAAATTTTGTTCTCCAAGCTCTCAATTATTTCTGTATTTATTGCTGTTATTTAGATGAGAATATGCCTTTAAGCAAGCGAACTAAGGAGGCTGAACCTGTTTAAGAGGACTGTAAACCACAGCTCTATAAAACAGCTATCATTTTATTGCAGGCTTCCAGGTTTACTTAGCAAGAATCTGTAAATTTGCTAGGTAGTGATTAAAGTTTTGTGCTCTAAAAAAATACATTGCCTGAACACACATAATTTCCCTCAGTGAAGGTTTCAAGCGCAGCATTTATTTCTTGTATGGCAAGAATGTGCAAAAATGTACTCCCTTCAGCAGATACTGAAGTAAATGGCATTATTCCCATAATATCTGCCTTTCACAAATCACTTTTTACCTACAAAATTCCAAGCCAACTAGCTTTGCTTTACTTGGAGCAAGCTGATGGCAGAACTGTATAGAATAGACCAAAATCCAGGTGCTGTTCAACTATGGCTTAAGCAGATCTAGATTAGGGCTGCCACACCACTGCTACTCCTATCCAGTCTTCTCCTTTGCATTGCCCTCCGTTCAAAGAGCTAAAATAATGAAAAAAATAAAAGCTAATCTGAGGTGAAAAAAAAGGGTTATTAACAGGGGCAGGTTTCTGAACTGACCAACATCTTGCAAGAAGCAGAGGGCAGGAAGGGCGATGGGTGAAGGAGAGTGCAGAACTGTTGGTCTGCTTACACTGCCACAGAACAACAACTAGAGAGCCCCAGAACCAACCATGCCCATCTGCAGCATCATGTAACATTTTTTAAAAGCACACATTCATCTGAGAAGAAAACCATTCTTTCTATATTACAGGAGCAGAAAACAAGTTCTGCACACAACATGAGACTGCAGATGAACTCTGCTATAAACTGCAGTCCTTCAATAGTTTTTTTTGGCCTATACTGCCCTTATGTTCCTTGGTCTGAGGAAAGACAATCTGCAAATTTTCATCAGTCCTTGCTGCTCTTCTTATTCTTTTATTTTATGTTGATTTTTGGTTAGGTTGAATACATACCTCTGCTTCCATTTGGTAAGTATTTTCTACTCTACTAAAGTCTTCTGTTACAGTCATATCTTCTTCCTAAAACAAAGTAGAGAGATATAATCTTAAAGACAGAAATTAAGCATCTGTTGGAACTGTATGTACATGGTGTCCTGTAAAAGTTATGTTTTGGCATATTACTTATGACTTTGCAACAGGAACTTGGAATTTTCCATGCAAACATGTTCAGTTAAAAACTAGCTGGATGTTAAAGACTTCTGACATTATTTAAAGTAAATTATACAGTAGCTCTATAATGTAATTTTGCTGCTATTGACTTGAAGAGAACTTAAAAGTGGTTGCTAGGTAGAAGCTGTGTATATTAGTGTGTAACTGTAAATTCACCTGGTGCAAAACCTGGAAGCTTCAATTGTTTTTAGGAAGTATGTGAGAAGTGCTTTTCAGGCCCCTATTTTAAGATATTTTAACAGTAGCAGCTTGTAGCAAGGTAATGTGAATAATGACTGAACACGATGGTAACCCTTAAAAAAGGCTGTTCCACCAGTGATAATTCTGCATCAACAGCAGCTACATTAGTCAACATAATGTCTGCCGAGAGCACTAGCAAATCCTGTAAGACTTATAAACAAGATACTGAACTCACTGAGATACAGAATAACTCCATTTACATCTGAATATTTGACGACTTGCTAGTGATCTAACAATCACACTTCTTGCACTCAATTCGCTCTTCAGTAAACAGTTTGGATGAACAATTTATTTAAAACTACTATAAAACAACAAAAAGCACAGCTTACAGTGTAATTGTAAATGCAACTTTGCATTTAATATCCAGGAACCAGGGAAGCAGATACTAAGCCTTCCAATTACTGAAAAGTTTTACTTACTAAATTTATTCACATAGGAAATATTTGCCTTCAGCTTTGACATGTTTCAAAAGATGCTTTGAGTCAGAGTATTTCCTACAGAGGCTCAAATCTTCAAGTTTATCATGTTGTATGAAAGCATATGTTTATGTAAATGACATTAACCATGAAAAGCATTTTCCTTTAAAAATATTAAATGGAAATTACACCCATAATTACCACTGCACAGCACCCTACAAGAAACAAATTTTGAAATGTCAATTTTATGATTGATTGGCAGTGCTCAAATTCAAGCACAACACTCCTATTTTTGAATAGTCTCTTCTAGTAAGGGCAAGGATCATGGACAGTTAGACACTAAAAACTGCTTTTCTCCTTTTACATGGCTGGCTGCGGTTTTCTAAAGAGTGATCAAGACAGTCCAGCACCAACAGCTTATTTAATTTACAAAATGGGGCAAATCTTACTATTTATGATAGAATCCCATTACAATTGACACAAAAGATTTTTTTTCTAGAGCTCTCACATATAGAAATAACCACTCAGAAAACACACACTTCTACAACTTATATTTTACAGAAGTAACTACGCTGTAATACAATTTATAGTAAACAAAGAAAACAATGCATTTGTTTTCCCCCGTCCCCACTCCTTAATCCTTTTTTTTAAAAAAAGATCTTTTTCCTGCTGAGCGGATTCAAGTCTTGGAATTTGCCCTCCTAAGGTTCCTGTGTATTCAAGGACAGTGCCATCATGTGGCTCCAGGCGCTATTGCAAGACCAGTGCCATGGACTCAAAGATCATTTTGTAACATCTACTACAAAATTTCCCTCACGCCTAATTTTTATCCCATCAGTTTTGACTGTAGCACTATGTGTTACTGAAGATAAATGGACGAAATAATTGCCGAAGTCATAAGAAGTTGGCCTTCTGTGATACATTGTTCCCATCTGGCACTGTGCTCAGACAAAGATATGAAACAGACAGGTAGGGGATGGCAGAATTTTAAAGTGGAATAAAAACTTAGACTACATCAAAAGCTAAAGGTTTTTCATTCAGGATATTTTGACATCTAAAGGCTTTGGAATGGAGTGAGCAAAACTTCAAAATCTTTGTTTAACTGACAGTATGAATATGCATCCATAACTGTGACTCCTGAGTAACAGTTTTGAAACATGAAGAATATTGCACATATATCCAAGGATATATCCCAGTACAGACAAACTCTAACCCAGAGCCCACTGGATATAGTTTGTGAGCTGGTTTGTTTGTTTTGATAAAATAACACTATGACAAGTACAACAAATATTATCACTGTTATTTTTAAACAAGATGGCCAATGACAATTTTTAGATACAGTGATTAAAGAAAACAAGTCTCATCTCCACACCACTCCCCAAATAAATCATAGGTGGCAAATATAAAATCAGTTTGCTTCTAGAGAAAGAGAAAAAAACGTTATGTTTGAGCAGCTGGGCTGAGTAAGGGAGATTGGTCTCCCCATTGATTTTACTTTCCCTGCAGCCTTTGAAGCAGACTACGCTCTGAAGTGCTGCATATACTTACAGCACACTATAAATAAATGCCACTATGTGAATCTATTTCTGATTAAAATCCTGTGTAAATGTATATGGAAATCAGGTGCTGCCCCCAGGCATCCTGACAAGCTGTGAATGCAAGCTCCTGCTGCTGCAAAGGTTATGCACTTCTGATCTCACAGACCTCCTATGATAGCAACAACAAGGGTTAAGGAAATTGTTGTGTGGATTAATTAAAAATAAATATATAGCATAGCCAGCTGATTTCTAAAGAGGCCTTAGATAAGCTTGCAACAACTAGAACCGTATGGAGATTGTGAAGAGAGATTAATTTTACAGTTGTCTAGAATGGTATTAGCTTCAAGTGAAGTTAGTAAATGCAGTTAAGAACAAATTGCCAGCAGTGAGAGTTGTTAGCAGAAAAGCTGCAAGGCAAATAAAAGCTCCAGCAGCGGAGTGATTTAAAATTGGATGGAACAAAGCACTAAAAATTATACCGTGGGGAACTACTCTGAAAAAAAAATAACTTCATGTTGTTTTTCTCAGAGTTCCCTAGAGTTAACACTTTGCTAACACTGACAAACCCACAACTTAAGCAGCATTTCACAGTCTCTCAAGTAAGTGAAAAGAACATTTCCTTTCTGCAATGCACAACATCTCAGAAACAGAAGAAGATTAATGTGAAATTATTATAACTATAATGAGACACAGAAGCTTTCACATTGTAAAAACAGCCCACTCTCCACCCAGGTTATACCACCACTGCTTGCCTGCTCACATTGCATTTCTGAACCTGACACAATATACCCAAATAAAACCATTTGTTTGTCCAGGTCATACTTCAGTTTGCAATTATTCTTCCTAGCCTGCAGTGGTGCGCGCAGCCCCTCTAAAGCACATTCACCCATTTAACATCCTGTCTACTCCTCTCATGTACCAGTCACCACGTCTTGAATGCTCCACATGATGCCAATTCAGTCAGGCTCATATCAGAACTGGAAGTCAGTTTTCAGGTTCACTGTAGAGTAAATACTTGCCACTATCTTTTCTAATCTAGTCACACTTGGAAGAGCTATTTAATCACAGCCAGGATGAAAATATCCCATGATCTAATAGCTCACCATGGGAGTGTGTCCAAAGCTTATTGTAATCTGTACTAATAAAAAAGAATGCATGTTGACTTGTTTTGTCTTCTCCTGTTCCTCTCAGAATCCACCAGACTTTACACTCCTTTTAACTTACTTAATAGAAACAGAAGGCATTTCACCTGTAATTCTCCCTGGGACAGACACACACCCAGCTGTGCATTTGGGAAAAACACAGGGAGGAGGATCACGTATCTATCCCAGAGCAGCCTTCATGTCTTCTTGCCATCTAGTCCCAGAGCTGTAATATGAGCTTTTCCTAAATCAGGAGTCAAGAGTCTTCTTTATTGCCTCCTTTATTCCTGAACGGACACTTTATTTAGGTACTGTGCCAGCATTACAGTTTTAAAAGAAAACAGTAAATCCTATTTTGTTGAGGAAAATAAAAGTTGGAGTAAACACCCATCTTCAAGCACATGCAGCATCTGAAATGTGGGCATGCAACTTCACGGTGGGCATATTGTTTAGGCCAAGTAACTCACTCTCTTTGCATTTACTAACACCGAATTGCACGGTAACATCATGCAGGATCAGGAAACCCTTATGCAATTTTTTTTACTCCATTGACTAATCTGGTGTTGATAGCAAACTCTGTCGTCTCCTTTCTTCCCCAGTTCATTTGTGAATACACTAAAAAGGCACAGACTTCCTGGGAAACTTCAACAGTAAATAACTTTCAGAAGCAACCACTTATTCCATCAAAGATCAGCTTTGTTCTGTTTTTAAGAGCCCTAGGTTGTTTTATGAAATCCAAAAACATCATCAGCACAATTGTTAGGACAAATATTACCCTTATGGAGCATTCACCGTGTGGACAAAGCTTTAAAGGCAAGACTACGTATTTTCCATTGTTGTAAAATTACTTTCTGAGGCCAAAAAATTATTATGGTAAAGGAATCTTTTGAGTTCACAAGGGGCTTCTGTCACTTCAGCTATCTTGATCACATCCCATGTTTTTTTCAAAACCACTCAAGTGGAAAAGGAGAAAGAGAGAGGAAAGAGCTCTCTGGGTATTTGTTGCTAAACTATAGGAATCACATCATTACCCTGACACACAAAGTTACAGTTAAAGTTATGTTGCCGTGGACCCCTTTAGTAGTTTCATCCACAAACACGAGAGGACGCAGCATTACATGAACAGATCACACAATCAATTAGACTGGAAAACACCTCTGAGATCGCCGAGTCCAACTTATGACCGACCACCACCATGCCAACTAGACCATGGCACTGAGTGCCACGTCCAGTCTTTCCTTAAACACCTCCAGGGATGATGCCTCCAACACCATGAGACAGCCGAAGAAGGACGGTTTTCGCGTGCAAAACATGGAGCCCGCTGGAGAGCCCGGGTAGCGACAATCCGTTTTTTCCGCTGCGGCTGGCAAAGCTGCAACCTCCCAAAGACAGGCAGCCTTTCCCAGAAGTGCTCCCGCGGCTCCCGAGGCGGAGGGCCGAGAGCTCCAAACACCGTCCCTCCCCTGCTTTCCGCCGGCACCGGAGCCCTAAGCGGGCGCCTTTCCCTCGGGGCCGTCCTGGCGGGAAGGCACCGCATCCCGCCGGCTGCCGAGCGAGGTAGGGGAGGCCCCGAGGGTCGGAACTGCCCCTTCCGCTGTCCCCCTTCGCCTTCCCCCGGGGGCACCCCCCGCCCCCCCAGCGGCCGCGGCGGCGCTGCTCACCGGGACGCCGCGCAGGCGGGCGCTGTGGGCGATGTAGTCCAGCCGGCGGGACACGCTGCTCCGCGCCTCCCCGGCCGCCTCCTTGCGGCTGCTGAGCCGCAGCGACACTCGCGCCCGGTCCGGGCGGACGCTCAGCTCCGCGCTGCCGCTCACATGCACCTCCCGCCCGGGCGGCACCGGAGGCCCAGCGCGGCCCAACAGGGCCGGGACCGAGGCCGGGACCGCGTCGAGCTCGGCGAAGACGCGGGCGGGGGGCGGTGCCGGCAGCGCCATGGCCATGGCGGCGGCGGCCCCTGCGGCACCATGGCAACCCTGGGGCGCCACGTCACCGCCCGCCCACCACCGCCCCCGCGCGGCCCCCGAGCCAGCGGCTCCCGCCGGGATCGGCACTGAGGCCGAGGGCACAGAGTCACGGAACCGATTAGGTTGGAAAATACCTCTGAGACTGTCGAGTCTAGCCTATGACCGAACACCACCGTGTTAGCTATTCCATGGCACTGAGTGCCACGTCCAGTCTTTCCTTAAACACTTCCAAGGACGGTGTCTCCACCACCTTCATGGGTAGGCCATTCCAATGTCTAATTGCCCTTTCCGTGAAGAAATTCTTCCAGATGTCCAACACAAACCTCCCCTGGTGCAGCTTAAGATCATGTCCTCTCTTCTTGTCGTTGGTTGCCTGAGAGGTCCCTCTGATGCTCGCCGAGGGGGTGCATGATCCGCTTGTCCTCCCAATTCCTTTTCTGCTTTCCAGACAGTCAGGCCCCAACTGACAGTCAGTGTTATTCCCACCCAGATGCAAGTTTTGGCATTTCTCCTTGCTGAATTTCATGAGATGTCTCTCAGCTCAGTTCCCCCGCCAGTCTGAGAGACTACGAAATGAGTAACTCAGTGACCAGCTCTGTATGTCTGGTCTCATTTGTATGAGGATTTTTGGGAAGGACTGTGAATATGACATTACTGTTTACATTTGTGTTACATCGTGTTTTGGTTACCTGAAATCTGCAGTCTAGCACAGAGGCTGGAATGATACTGAATGTTTATACAAGGTCTTGAAGCCTTCAGAATTCGCATTGCAAAATGTTGGAAAGTCTGTGTTACATGATACAGATAAATATTGCTATACTCTCATAGATAAAAACATGACATGTAAAGACATCATGACCTGATTTTACAAATCAGATAAAGATTCCTTGGAGATATCAGGGAAGGGAAATATTGAGGGAATTGAAGCCGTGTCTTTCTTCGCCCTCATTAATCCACTTGGTGCAGTGTGTGCTTCATGTACCATCATTAGGGAGCTTCTGTACAAACTTCCTTTCCCATCATTAATATCATATCTGCCTTAAGAGGTATCAGTGACTTCTTCACGCTTCATGACTTTTGGAGTCTTTTGCCTTTGAATTTGGTCTCCAGATTTGCTGAACACTTAAAGCTTCAGATGAAATGGATTGAACCTGTTAGGTATTCATTACCTCCTGAGATGACACTCCATGTTTCTCAGCAGGAACAACAAGAAGTAGAGAAAATCTTGAGTGTAACTGACTTTGATCAAAGTTATTTGACAAGACAAGGAAGAAGCTTGTAACAGAATCCAGTAATATTGGTGCCTAGTCATTTAACATAAATCGAGAGCTTACATGAATGAATTCTGGGCACTGCTGACTTTCAGAAATGAAGTACAAAATGGAAAATGAGTACAGAGGAAATTATAATTGTATATTCCTCAGAAATAAACAGGGAGTTTTCAAAATGCTTTTGAAAGTAGTCTGTCACGGGGCACTTAATTTTTTTTTTATTCTTTGTTTAGCCCAGATGTTTGTAGAAGATTTCCTTAAATATGTAACAGTATCAATAGACAACCTCTAACTATTGAATGGTTCTTATCAAGAAATCATCAATAAAGCTTTTAAAGAATTGTTGGATAATATAATGTAGCCAAATTGTTCACTCTCCATTTTTTTTTTAGTGTTCAAGACTATTCTGATTTAACCGTTGATTAAAAGTGATTTGCCTTTTTATGAAAGACAGACTGTATCAAACAAAATCTGTTGAAGTGTTTACACTCATATGTAAATATGCAATGAAATCTCATAGGTGTTTTGCACTTCGTAATTCAATGCTGTTTGATCTTTAACTTTCTGTGTGTTAGCAGTGAAGTGGTACATTGCTTATGACTTTTAGAAATAGAGCTGTATTTCTTTATTGAGGTAAGATTTTTGAGGTTTGAAATGTGTGTGATGAGGAAATCTCTTTTAAAAGCTGCTGCCAAATGCTTTTTTTCTGAAAGGACAATTTGCAGAATCGATGTTGACTGATGTCTTTCTGCTGTCATGTTGATGGATGCTTGGATGCTGACTCAGTGTACTGCAAAACATTTGGTGAAGGAAGGCCCTATGCCATACCTGTGTACTACCTGGTTATTCCTTACAAGGTTTTTGCGCAAAAAAATTGGTCACTCACTTTTTACATGACATTGACAATCCCTCTGTAGGGGCGAATAAGTATCCCCTGTAAGCCAGATATGTTACCTTTTCAGAACCATATGAGACTCAAAATTGAGAAGGTTAGGTCCAGATTTCTGGAATTCCTTGGAGGACTAAATTCACTGTATATGTTACCACTTTCTCCTTCATATCCCTCCTCAGAAAAGGTTTTAGGTAGAAACCCTAACTCTGTTCCCTATGAAAAGTTAAGCCTAGTATTAAAGACTTGGAATAGTGCTCAGATTATATTCAATGGTGCAGTTTGGAGTGAAAACCTGTAGAGTGATAACACCAGTGTTAACTGCCCAACAATAATTTTCCTGTATGTTTTTTCTATATGTTTTCAGAGGCAGTTTCTCTGGCAGACTCTTGGCACAGGAGTGTGGTTGCTCCCTAGTACAAATGCTTGTTACAGCAGCTACCTGCCACTGGGGCACCTTGGTCAGGCAGCCTACTGACCAGTCCTCTATCTGCATCTGCCAGTGGGTGGAAGAGCTAGAACTATGACTCCTGATATAATTTTTGGTTAAGTGGAGAAGATTTGCCAAGGGTTTGAAGTAGAAATAGTGCCATGTGACTTGGGAGCGAATAACTAAACACACAAAGTAGATCCCTTAGTAACTGAGATTTAAAGAAAGGATATATCAATAATTTTGCAGGAATGTCTAGTTTTAGAATGGCCACCATGATTGCAACAGCAACTGGGTTAGTGAAAATCTAAGTTATACAGCAGGAGAAAAGCCAAATAACAGTACAAAGATCAGCCAAGAGAAAATGTTCACAGGAAAAGTTGCCTATAAAAATGCTTTTGAAGGGCTCTGGAGGCTTTTTATTAGTAAAAAATGGCAAAGTGCCAGAAAGAGAAAATGGAACACATGAGACTTGTAGAGACAGGAGGACAATGCGTGGCAATGCCAGAAAAAGGGATTGCAGAAGAAGAGCTGTCAGAACAGATAATATCAGGTTGATAGTTCTAACAAGGTAGAGAGGTCTGTGATCTGAAAGCTGCACCTCAAGAGAACATTTGTGAGCATGCTTGGACTATGAATCTGGAGATCTGCAATGCTGCTATTAAGTGGAACAATAATTCAGATGTAAAGGTGACTGATTTCTAAAGAAACTTTCGAGCAGTTGTAAAGTAGGTATGAAATGGAGCAGACTGGCATTGTCATTAGTAACCCCGAGGGACTAACATTTTTAGGAAATTATGTAAAATAATGAATAATCAGGATCAGTTCCAAAGCCTTGCAAGATACATAGAAAAAGACTTGGGTGTTATTTCCTTTTTTTTTTACCCCAAATGATCAATTTTATTTAAAAAAATATATTTTCTCTGTGCTATGAAACTTTTTTTTAACCTAAAATCCCCATGGACACTTTAGGTGTACTTAGGTGTAGAATACTCTTGAGCCTTAGAAATCCATCAGCTTTCCATTAGAGTATGTGTTTGCTTTCTATTGAAGTTAAGCTGTCAAGTTATTTTATTCTAGATCTCTGTACTATGATGTCTATGGACCAAGTTTGAAGTTGAATTCCCCTCTTAATAGTCTCTGTCCCCTATGATACGTAAAAATGTATTATAGATATCATATTAGGCTGAGCCAGTTGGGATTGTTCAGTCTGGAGAAGAGAAGGCTCCAGTAGCAGCCTTATGGTACTTAAAGGGGGCCTACTGGAAAGATGGGGACAGATGTTTTAGCAGGGCCTGTAGTGATAGGACAAGGGGTGATGGCTTTAAACTAAAGGAGAGTAGACTCAGACTAGATATAAGGAAAACATTTTTTGTGATGAGGGTGGTGAAACAATAGAACAGGTTTCCCAGAGAGGTGGTTGATGTCCCAATTCCTGGAAACATTTGAGGTGGATTGGGTTTTGAGCAACCTGGTCTAGTGAAAGGTGTCCCTGCAGGAGGGCTGGACTAGATGGCCTTTAAAGGTCCCTTCCAACACAAACTATTATATGATTCTATGATACTACATTTTGTTTAAAAAGTTGAGTGTTTTTTATTATATTTTGGTAATAGCAGACTTCATATCTTCTAACTGTACTTCCCTGCAGTTTTCAGGAGACCAGTGTTGTCAGTGAGAAATAGGTTGGCCTTGATAATCCATGACACTTTTCTCTGTATTTACTCTTCCACTTTTTGTATGAATAATATCTTTATTTAACTAAGTTTAGATCTGTGGAGAAATGAAAAGTGTCAATATTTGCAATGACCTCGAGTATGACTAATATCCCTATTTTACACTAGGGACCCTGTTTTGCACCTGAAATAGGGATGTTAGAATTTTTATGTTTAAAAATACAGGCTACAGGGAGTTATACAAATACTAAGGAAAATAGAGAATTGCAAGATCAACCATATGGTTCTATTTATACCAATCTGGCACGTTTGGGGAGATTTCAAGGTTAGATTCTCCACTCTTTCTCCTGCAAGTATGTATCTAAAGTTTTAACTGTTTAGATTTCACCACACTGGTGTGCCACAGAACAGAGCAGAGGGTTGCAACAGACGCCAAATCATAGAATGGCCTGGGTTTGAAGGGACTTTAAAGATCATGTAATCCCATCCCACTGCCATGAACAGGGACGCCTTCCACTAGATCGATTTGCTCAGGGTCCCATCCAACCTGTCCTTGAACACTTCCGGGGATGGGACATCCCCAGCTTCTCTGGGCAATCTGTTTCAGTACCTCAAGACCCTCACAGTAAAACATTTCTTCCTAATATCTAATCTAAACCTATTCTCAGTTTAAAGCCATTTCCCCCTTCTCCTATCACTACAGGTCCTTGTAAAAAATTCTTCAGCTTTCCAGTATGCCCCTTTTAGGTACTGGAAGGCTGCTATAAGGTCTCACCAGAGCCTTGTCTTTTCCAGGCTGAACAATGCCAATTTTCTTAGTCTTTCCTTATAGGAGAGGTGTTCTATCCCTCTGATAATCTTTGTGGTCCTCCTCTGGACTCTCTCCAACAGGTCTATGTCCTTCCTGTGCTGGGGACCCCAGAGTTGGATGCAGTACTCCAGACTGGAGAACATGACATCAATTTATACTTTTTTGGGGTAATATTTGTCTCTCAGGAAACTGAGCACTGAAGAAGATAATTTTGCTTTTAGATGGGAGGGTCCTACTGCATTAAATGACTCTGCTGTGGATGTATTATGAAGTGAAACATAGTAATTGCTACAGTGATAGGGAAAGCCAAACAATTAAATACTTACATCTGCCATTTGATTGTACTGTCCTTGAAAGTGATCGCTGAAGTGTGTTAAAAAGGAATTGTTGTAGCACATATAAAAAAATACGTACAAATGTTAGTCATCTTGCAACATTGTGCTATCGGATTACAGTAGGTGGGAACGGTTGAAGTCAATGCATGTTATGAAAATGAAGTATGTGGCATAAAATGTAATTGCAGAAATTGCTATGAATTGGAAGGTTTGTTTACATTAACTGTATTGAGAAGATGAGCTCTATTTTAATTTTCATCAGTGCAGCAACAAGAGCAAAATTACAATTGAGTGGGAGAAGGGAATGGGAGAGGAATGAATCTGTTTGCTCTAATACCTCAGCCACACAATACTTTCTTTACTAAAGTCTAATCATCAGTGTCAAGACCAGAAATAAAATTGAGTCAGTTTTAGAGATTGCTGGGGAAATATCTCAGCTAGTAGAAAATTTGTTAGAGTTGATGGGGCCAGAAAAGGAGAAAACCTGCTTTAACTTTTAGAGTTTAGGTTGAACTTTCATATTTTGCTAATAAGGTGACCATCAGCGTATCTTTACCCATAAACTGGAAATTTGATGAGGAATGGAAGAAAGAAAACACCCACAGAAGTCCAAAAATGTAATTGAGAGTGGTTTGTGAGAGGAAAAAAAGTGAAACTTTTTTAAAAGTAAAGCAAGAAGCAGGACCTGGGAAACTACAGGCCTGTCAGTCTCACTTCAGTGTCTGGTAAAGTTATGGAAAAGATTATTTTGGGAGGTATTGAGAAACACCTGAAAGACAATGTAGTCATCAGTCACAGCCAGCACGGCTTCATGAGAGGAAAGTCCTGCTTATCGAACCTGATTTCCTTCTATGACAAGGTAACCCACCTAGTTGATCAAGGGAAGACAGTTGATGTAATCTTTTTGGATTTCAGTAAAGCTTTCCCAACTGTCCCTCACAGGATCCTTCTGGACAAAATGTCCAGCACACAGCTGGATAAACACATCATGTGGTGGGTGAGCAATTGGCTCACGGGTCGAGCACAGACATGGCCAGTCTTTGCGAACGAAGATTTGGGAAAGGTCATTACCCTTCGAGCCTGTGCAGTGGATTTTTTAGGTGAGACACAGTGTGCGCTGAACTGAGCCCACCCTTTAATCCTAAGGTTCATCTGCTGGGGCCGAGCGAGCTCGGACGGTGGCAGCGAGGTCCTCAGAACGTAGGTTTGTTTAGAGTGACCTTCTCTTAGATGGATGGCCTTACAGGGCTGACGAGCTCCATCTGCCCGGGGGAGTTTCCCTGACCGGGAATTGAACCCGGGCCGCGACAGTGAGAGCACCACATCCTAACCACTAGACCACCAGGGGTCTCGATTCCATGGGTGGTGGGGCATGGCCATTCTTAGTTGGTGGAGCGATTTGTCTGGTTAATTCCGATAACAGAGGGTAATAGTGAGTGGGGTAAAATCAGAGTGGTGACTTGTCACTAGTGGGGTTCCACAGGGCTCCATCTTAGGCTCTGTGCTCTTCAACATCTTCATAAATGACCTAGACGCAGGACTGGAAGGGGTACTAAGCAAGTTTACACAAAACTGGGAGGAGCTGTTGACTCCCTTGAAGGCAGGGAGGCCCTGCAGAGAGACTTCGACAAATTAGAGGACTGGGCAATCACCAACATGTTCAACAAGGGGAAGTGCCAAATTCTGCACCTGGGATGGGGCAACCCCAGATGTACATACAGACTGTGGAGTGAGATGCTGGAAAGCAGTGCCACAGAAAGGGACCTGGGGGTCCTGGTCAATGACAAGCTGAATCTGAGTCAGCAGTGCCCTGGCATCCAGGAGGGCTAACCGTGTCCTGAGGGGCATCAGGCAAAGCATTGCCAGCTGGTTGAGGGAGGGGATTGTCCCACTCTCCTCTGCACTGGTGTAGCCTCACCTTAAATATTGTGGTAGTTTTGGGCACCACAATATAAGAAGGATATTGAACTCTTAGAGAGCATCCAAAGGACGGCAACAGAGATGGTGAATGGCCTTGAGGGGAAGCTGTATGAGGAGCGGCTGAGGTCACTTGGTCTGTTCAGTCTGGAGAAGAGGAGACTGAGGGGAGACCTCATTGCAGTATAGAACTTCCTTGTGAGGGGAAGAGGACGGGCAGACACTGATCTCTTCTCTGTGGTTACCAATGGCAGGACCTGAGAGAATGGACTGAAGCTGTGTCAGGGTAGGTTTAGTTTGGATATTAGACAAAAGTTCTTCACCCAGAGGATGGTTGGGGACTGGAACAGGCTCCCCAGGGAAGTGGTCACAACACCAAGTCTGTCAGAGTTCAAGAAACATTTGTATGATACTCTTGGGCACATGGTGTGACTGACTCTTGGGAATGGTCCTGTGCAGGGCTAAGGGTTAGACTCAATGATCCTTGTGGGCTCCTTCCAACTCAGCATATTCTGTGATTCGGTGATTCATTAATACCACTATTTTTTCTTGTAACTCACTTATTTTGGTGTTCTATCATTTAATACCATTTAAATCAGCAATTTTTGTAATTTATTTTTGCTTGAATAATTATACTATGAATCTGTTTTCAACATTTATAAGGCATCTTTTTTTTTTTGTGGAAGGAAAACTACAGTCCTTTCTTTGTTTACTTTGTAGTCCCTGTGCAGTACTGGAATGGGAAATGTGGAGTCAATCAGTGCAAATGAGAATCAAGCCACACGTCTGAAAAGCAATGAGCAACTGAAGAAATAGTTTTGAAGGGGAAAGTTTGTAATTAACCTCTCTAACACCATCCTCAAAGGTACTGGGGGTTCTTGGTTCTCATCAACTTCAAAGAGAATTCAGTGTTTAGTATTTTCTTGCAGAATTGGGGGTGCAGAAATGAGGGCCAGATGATAATGAGCTGATAGGATGACAAACACCTGTGAAATGCAATGCTATGAAAGCATTTCTTTGTCAATTTTTGGTATGTCATGGATTGTGCAGTGACAAAAAATGGCATAAGATGGCAGTAGGAGATTGCAAAATGTAGTGGTTTGGAGTGGCACGTTCCAGTGAATTAACCCACTGGCTTGCAATAAGGATGATTGTATAACAAGTGACAAATAGGGGCTGCTGAGCTCCATTAAGATGCTGGTTTCTAACTTTTTCTTTTGCATTTTTCTTTTCCTCAGAGGAAAATCTCCAGTATATTTGACATTTATACTTTCTTATCTGAGTGTGGGAAAATGTAATAGTTTTCCATACTGCACTGCCATCTGTATGGAAGCACTTGAAATTCACCGCTCGTACATCTTTATCGGTGCTGTATGAAAAACACTCCAAACTTAGTGTCATATTAAATATGGTATCACGTGCTGATGAGAACAAAGTAGGTTGAAACAACCACATCTGTAATGCACATGCAGCTTTACAGCCTTTCTTGTGAAGCAATGTGAGCAAGAGGCTATTAAGTTTATCCTCTGCTGAACTCCAGTGTGGAGAACAGGTTACTGTGGGCCTAGACCTGTGCTGGCAGCTCTAGTCAAACCCTAGGAGGGTAGAAATGGTGAGCCCTGTGAAAAGTTTTGTTAGGTGCTCTCATGACACCAAGGCTCTGGGGTCTTCTCATAACCTTCCAGTCCAGGGTTGCCTTCTCTTGGCCAGAGAAATGAGTTTTGAATACGTAAGTAATTACTGCTTATGATAAATATATGAAAAAGAGACAGGGAAAAAGAGAGGACTGTATTTCTGGAGGCTAATTCTTGTAAGATTTCTTCAATTTATGAATTGCTAAAAAAGAGATTTAATGGGTTATTTGCAAAATATAGGTGTGTAATTTCTCGGTGCTAATAATTTCATTAGATCTGTGTTGGAATTTTCAGTAACGACTTTACATTAGTATATAAAGCTGTATTCTGTAGCCCCAGTGTATAATTTAAATTCCTCTCAAACAAAAAGGTTCACATTTTCTGAATCCTTTGCAGTGGAAATGATGATAACATTTTTAGTTAGTGTTTTTCATCCTTAGATCTGAAAATTACTTATAAATGCACATATCATTTACCAGAAAGGACTTTATGTGATCAAACAAAGTAAAATTAACATAAAGCAACAATGAGCAATAAACGCTTTCTAAAGTGGTTGGCAATGTATTGCCTGAGCTCTGTTTTGGCAGGGAAAAGTACCTGTGGAAAAAAGTTTTATATTTTTCTAAGTTCACGATGACTTTCACTCAGCAAAATTATTCTTTTCAACATTTTTGTTAATGTAATCACTAGGGACTTATGTGGTTATGTGTGATTTTTTTCTGATATCTAAGCCAGAGGTCAAAGCAAAACTGACATTTAGAAAGATGATGTGGATTTGTTGTGCTCCCTGAAGGCCTTGGTCCGTAAGCCAGGAGATGGATCACAGATGCAAAAATTTCCACCTTTGAAGTATTAGACCTTGTTTCATTGTGGTTTACACATACCTGATTGATTCCAATCAAGATTTTAACATTTTAAGAAATAAAAAGCAAAAAATTGATTTTTCTCAACATTTTTTTTAATAATGATGTTTCTGGAAAGGTCAAGTGGGCATTTTATCATGTATCTTTTCAGCAGAGCACCTGATCACATGTGGCATAGACAGCTTCTCTGCACTGTAGAATATGATGCACCATTTGTGGGATCTGTATCAGTAAGGCCACTCATGCTATAGCCACAGCAAGTGTCATCCTGGTACCCTGTGGAAAGCCTAGCAACAACCCACAGACAAAATGTAAGCATGATTTATACTAGCATTGCACTGATAAAAATGAGGGCTTCAGCCTCCCTGTAATCCCTCTTTAGGATTACAGTCATAAATATTACCATTATTAGGCTGTATGATCCCTTATTCAAAAGTCCCTTTAAAATTTGTTCTAATGGAATCTGAAGCTGACCAGAGCTCTGGAATGGATCTTCTGAGGATTTTCTGTATGGTGAGCTTCCCTGAAGGCCAAAAGGGCTTTTAAACTAAAGAAGACAGGGGTTTTTTTGAAAATGAAGTATTTGTTTTAAAATGAAATATAGTGATTAGGAGAAAGAGAGCAGAAAAAAACCCAAACCCATACATCATAGGGTGGGTATCACAGCTATTTGATTAGATTTAAAACATAAATGTTCATTAAAGGAGAACTAGTAGGAAAAATGAACTCCATTTTGAGATTGAAATCATCCATTTACTCCACATTTCTGAGAAAGACAGAGTAGCCTTAAAAATAACTTAGGTCTTTCTTTTGTTTTGCTACTGTTTTTGTTTGGTGTTAAATTCCTCATTGGACTAAGATAATTGAATATTTATGGTATTTTTCATTATAATAGTAAATGCATAATAATGAAATTACAATAATGGCACATTTTGCTATGTCTTTAACCTGTTAATTCTAAGGAGAAAGTGATAAAGATCCCTTGATTTTGATACAATTTTGTGAAGAACATTGCTGTTAGTCTTACAGTGGAAAATTTGAGAAAATTTTCATACATTGTCGCTGAAGGCAACCTCACTATAATTGCTTTCTTATGTACTGCTTTATGATACTGGAAATAGTTGATTAATTATGTGCTGAACTGGTTCTCTTGTCAGGAGAGGGTAAAAAAAATCACTTAAATTAGTCAGGTGATTTCACTGCAATGACAAACATGAACACACTTTAACATCAACATTTGTATATATTGCCAAAATCTAGTAAACTTCTGATGAATTCCAGAATAGGAGGAATTCGAGAATTCAGGCTGAAAGTACATTTTTTATTACAACTGTTGCAAAAAGACTCTTGCAATACAGGTTTCAGAGAGAGTCTTGCACATCTCTTTGGCTTTTTTACTGACCAAAAGTGAATGACAATCATATGGAACAATTTTGATCCAGTTTATTAAGTTTTATATGACAGTACAAGATATGAGGTCAAAAAACTGCTAACCTTCTGGACTGGAGTGAGATAATCAATACATTGGTCCTGTCTTAAAGATTCAAGGGAGAACTTTTCCTGCAGAGTGTGGACTAAACCAACTTACTCTTCTGTAATAGCCTTCATGAGTGCCTTTGCCCTCATACTGCTTTTCTGTTAAGGTCTGACCCAAAGATCATTCACAGAAAAGAGGATCTTACAGTGGGCTTTGGCTTGGGTCAGTGAGTGAGGTCAGGTCAGGCATCACAAAGCTTGGCAAGAAAGGGAATCAGGTCACAAAGACCACAATGGTAAAGAAAATCCACAAGTGACATTTCAGAGGGGAGTGAAAAACAACACTAAGGCAGAATTCATCTTGACAAAGTCAGACATCTAAAAGTTACTTGTCATATTTCCTTCATAGCCATAGGATAAGAAAGAGATGAGATAGTGATTCATTGAACCTGTCTTAGATATCTACTACAGGTTGAGATGAACTGCCTTCTGGAGGGGCCTTTTTCTCTCCTTTGACTATAAAGGAGCCCAGGGGACTAGCTGACATTTAGGGAGCTGGCTTTTAGATTATAAAGTTAGAAAATCCCTGTCAAAGGAATCTGTGGGAGTAGCTCTCTTTTGCTCTCTCCCCTTTCCTCCTCCTAGCCATTAAGACAGTACCGCAGGTAGGTCTGCTGGCTTGAAAATGCACCCTTCTGATCCTCTGGTATGTCTAGACACTATGCTTTCCTTTAGAAAATATAAGCTAGGAAGCAGACATCTAATTGTTTTACCTGAAATAAGTTCCCTTTTCTCTGAAAAACCAGGATTTTTCTGATTCAAGAGTAATAATTTCAGTTGAATAAACTTAGATTACTTACAGTGAGAATACAGCTCAAGGTTCAACTGCACCTCTATTTTCCTTCTGAATAGGATAAATATCCCCTGGTATTCCTTCCACCTCTTCTAACCATAAGTTAGCAGGAATTCAGATAAGATTGTTCTATATCCCAGGTGCTGTTCTTAATACCGGACTACAGGCAGGGTCCAGAGGTAACAACATTCTTGTTGAAATCAAAGACTGACAAAGTTGACTTGTATTTAGTGTGTATCTTTAGAAATATGGCCCAACATTTATTCAGGACAATACATATAGAAATCATTTCATCTCTTTCCTCGTATTATTATATAGAATAGAGTATGGTTATGTCCTTCATGGAGAAGAAAAGCACTTCAAAACAAAAGATACCCTCTGTTTAATGCCATAGAGGAGAAAAACTGGAACCTAATTTCTTTAGACCTAATTTCTGGCACCTAATTTCTTTGGTTACTGGGTTGGTTTGAGTTAATTTTTCTCACATTTTCAAAGATTTTTTTACTAGCAGCTTGATTTTTAAAGATATTTGGTTTCTAAAGATATATGTTTTTCCACAGTGGAATTTTCCATCATACTGCCTTTTTAAGGACCAAAATATTTGGTCATTGATAGCCAATGACATTTGATTTTCTAAATGTAATTAAAAATATATTTGGGCCATTAAGGTAGTTAATCTTTGGATGCTTTTGAAAATTTAGACTTGCATATTGAATCCATTTATGATTTGTACTCAATTTTGAAATAAAGTTATTTGATTAGAAATACTACTATTTTTAGTGGACCATAGTTCTTAATTCAAGTGTTATATTTTGATTCACTGCAAACAAAAATCCTCAGGAGATTAGTAGAGCAAATGGAGGCATCTCTGATAAGACACACATGAGCTGTTTTGGAAATAACCATCACTTGAGATACAGACTTTGGTTTCTCTACTTTTTTCTCATTTTTTTTTTTTAATCAGTGAGACAGAACGGTATTTGTTACAATAAGGCAAGAGCTGAGTAGAAGTAACTGCAAATAAAATAGAACAGCTCATACAGTACTGTGAGTATTCTGGTGGGACATAATGTAGTTTGAATTTGACAAGTGTTTAAACATATATGGAGCCAGATTCTTCTCCAGGAGCAGACGTGTAACTTAAAGTCACTGTTGTTGTAGCAAGTGGAGTTGGATCTCTTAAAAAAAGTTTGGCTCTGGAACAAATATAAATATTACTTTTATTTTAGTTACATGTTTAATGTTTGATTCTGAACTTATGGGTGCATCCAAAAAATGTAGCAAGATGTTTAGTATGATTGTGCAGACATGTGCAATACTGAAGCTAGTATGAGCTCTCAGCAAAATGTGAAAGAAAAATATATAAAATAATAAAATAGTCCATTGTATTGTAAAATATTTTACAAATTTATTATAGTTAATTAAAATACTTGTTCGTAAAAACATTTACTAAGCATAAAAATAAGTTGTTTTTTTCTCAGTGCAATTCTCAATTGAGTTAGCCAGAATTTTAAGCACTTCTTGGAATGCTTCAGTGTTAAAACATATGAAGGTAAATTTTTCTTTATCTCTTCCATTGTCTTAAGAAAATGCCTAGATTTCTGGTCTTCAGGAATATTTTGACTAGTACTCATCAAAACAGTCTTAATATCCTTTCTGAGTCCCTGCACTAATTCCTCCAAAGCTTTAGGATTAGCCTGAGTAATAAACTAGGTTCTGAATAAACTTAACATTGTTCTTCATTGCTTATAAACATATCTGTGTACAAATTAATCAACCAAAAGCAAGAAAGCCAGAGGAAAATTAAAATCCTGTTTCATGTTTTATCAAGAAGAAATAATATTTTGCCTTCCCTCTGTAGTCAGTTTTGAGGCTTGAAAAAGCACTAACAATTCTCCCTAGTGAGCACGCTCTTCCCTGTAATCCATGCAGTTTCTGAGACTGAGATGTACAAAGGAAAGAAGAGCACAATTCACAGATTTAACTCTGAAAATTCCATGTGCATTTTCCTCCTTAGGTTTAAACTGGAAGCTAGAAATACTTTTATGTAAAACAGTTATATCCATTCCCACGTAGATTTGCCACACTTTACCTCTGGTACAGCTAGAGCCTGTAGTCCGTGTTGTGCCCAATGAAAGGATTTAAAGAGTTTGCAAGAGAATGACTGTGTTTGCTTGTTTTTGTGTCTGTCTCTTGATGCATTTGGATCACAAATACAAACATGTGATGCAAACATAAAACTGGCACATATCTCCTGCACAGAGAAAATTGCAGTTGAATAGTTTATTATTAATGTGAATACACAAAGTAAAACTGATTCCAGATGGTTTTTCCAACTCTGGTAACTCAGCAAATGTGTTAGATAAAGTGTGCTGTTCATCAGTGTCAATAGATAAACTAAGTTATTAAACAGGAATATATATGTAAAAACCCCCCATTATACTTGTAATTTTGATCTGTTCAGAATTTTGGGCCCTCTTTTATGCTGAGCCATTATTTTAATGCAGGTGTGATGTTCTGGTGAGAGGGGTATTAGGCTGATTCTGCTGTCTTGGTTTTGGATTTCACACTGATACAAACAACCCTGGTTCATAAGGTTTTGGAGTAAAAGTACAAAACAAGGTATGTAAATATTTAAGTTATAAACTCCACAAAACACGACATTTTTCTTGATGTCTTTACAAAATCTGGGAGTGAGTTTGATGGATACAATTTGCATGAGCAGACATTGTCACCTAAATATTGAATGGGGGTTCATGTGCTTTTGTATCCTTAGTCAAATGCTTGATATAACTCCAACAGTTGCTTCCCAGCTGAAAGGTTTCAGCACAAATGACTGCTTTACTTCCTGAAGGTGAAAGAACTGTGTTCCCTTCTGCTAGGAACATGTTCAGGCCTTTGAAGTGCAATTCTCATATTCTGACTGCATAATAGGAAAAGTGTCCCTTTTTCTTTGGTAATGTATATTTTGCATTTAGACTGTAGGTTGAGAAATGCTTCTCTGTGAGCATTCCTTGATGCCAATGTTGGTTTCCAATTTCAGCTATTCCTTTGTTATGCCCTGGGTTAATAAAACTCATGTTATATCAAGTTTCCAGGAGCAAGAGAAAGTTCAAATGAGGAGAACTTAGTAAGGGACTGTGTCATTTCCGTTAAGCAATCCTGACTGATTCTGTCCTTTCCCATCCAGGAGATACCTCCAGGAAGATTTCCCAAGTGTATACATTTTTTTAGGACCTCTTGTTCTCTGATATTGAGTAAGAGAGTTTGTGGTGGGGTGGCAGCTTGGTCTGGCATGACATAATTTTCCTTTTCCATATGAGTGACTGTACTTCCCGCAACACAGAGTCTGTGCACAGGGCACAAAGCAATCTTCTGCCAGATAGCCCAGTTGAAGGGCTGCAGTTTCCTGAGCAGGACAGCTGGGATGATGCAGGAGCCATTCTTGCTGAGGAGCAGAGTATCTAGGCTGTGGTAATGCCAATATGATCTCACTGTTCCCAGCAAATCAGCTAGGTTGAGAATTTGGGTTTCACAGTGCTGTAGGCATAGCCACCGGGCAGGATGGAGGAAAAGCTTGTGTCTGGTGCAGCAGGATCTTGAAAAGTGTTAAAGGCTATTTTTTGCCTTAATCTTCCTTAGATTGTACTGCAGTGAGCTGTCTGACATTCTGTTGTTGGAAGGGTTTATTACCAGTGCTTTGTAGGTCTCTCTCATCAATCTTTGCCTGTAGGCTGTCTGGAAGAGTGATCAAAATTATTTTCCCTCCGTCTGCAAATAGACCTCCAGTCCACAGACCCTTCAAATTCCTATTCATATGATGATGCTAAGTTAAAAAGCAAATAAATTCACATACATGGTGTTAGTCTATTGCAGGTTGGTGTGTAAATCCAAAATTTGTGTGCTTATGCTTTTTTTTTTTTTTTTTAGAATGGCTGAAGGAAATTCCTATTTAAAAATCCAAAGAGCAGTAAGTTGCCCACACAATAATGCATCTAAAGAAATGTTCTATCTTAATTACGAAAGTCAATCCATTGCAAGCATGGTTGCTATTGCTTCTTTCATGGAGTTTGCACTTACTGTCTGTAAAACACATTACCTATCTATGATCTCCACACAAGATGTCTCCCAACTCTTAGGGAAGTGATGTTCAGCAATGCATGAACAGGCTAGACACCTAAATCCTGTATCATGTTTCATACTGGACCCAATGTCAAGTACCTGCTCTGGAAATACAATTTGTAAGTTCATGCTATGTACTTAATTTCTTTCTGAATTTAATAGGGACCTTTGAGTATCTAGGATTGGTGTTATTGATAGACAGCCCATGAAGATACATTGAAACAGCCTTTGGAAACAGAAGTGTCTCACTGCCTACCCATCCTCTTGATGCTGAGGTGAGAGTGGGATTTGCATCCTAAAACTGTTTCATGACCTCAGGTGATGAGCTGTTGGATAGGAAATGTGTGCTTATTGGGAAGTAATAAAGATGCTTTTCCGTTTAGTCCATAATTCAGCTTTCAGCCAGGCAAAATGGAAAGTGTTCTTATGCTGGGCCAGTAACCACTCTAAGAAAATGCTGTCTGCAGTTGTTCCGTTGCAGACAGACTGCTGCTATCCAGGAGTGTAAGCTGCCAGGGACAAAAGGAAAAGGGACCTGACACTACTGGGTAGTGGTAAGAGCCACAGTTTGGAAGAAAGGTGTCACTCCTATCACTGTTCATGCATTTTATCTGATTGCTTTCTAGTTTTATGTGCATGAATATTGTTGGAATGGAGATTAATACCTAGGACTCTCGGACTCTTGGATCTGTTGTGGTTTAACCTCAGCCATCAATCACACAACTTCTCTCTCACTCCCTCATGCCCTCTTTGTGTGATGGGTAGGAGAATCAGAAAAAAGCTAAACCCCATGGGTTGAGATAAGAACAGTTTAAGAATTCAAATAAATTTAAATATAACAACAACAAAACCATTAATAATAATAATAAACATGATAACGATAACAATCATAAGAATAAAAATTTTATTGAAAAGGAGAGAGAGACAAATAAAACCCAAGAGAAACTGAGGCACAACAGAATTGCTTACCACCCACTGACTGCTGCCCATCCCATCCCCAAACAGCGACCTCCCCCTCCTGACTGACTCTCCCCAGTTTATATACTGGGCATGACATTCTGTAGTATGGAATATCCCTGTGGCCAGTTTGGGTCTGCTGTCCTGGCCTCGTTGCCTTCTGGCTTCTTGTGCACCTGTTCACTGGCAGAGCATGGGGAACTGAAAAAAGTCCTAGAACCATAGAATGGTTTGGGTTGGAAGGGACCTTAAAGATCGTCTAGTTCCACCCCCCATGGCAGGTACACATTCCATGAGACCAGGTTACTCAAAGCATCATCCAACCAGGGCTTGCTAATTTTTTTTTTTTTTGCCTGAGAGTTTACTATTGCAGAAGACTTAGAGATGAAACAAAAATGAACTGAAACTGAAACATTTTATTTCATTACTTAACCACAAAATTGTGTAGTTGAGCTATCAGAGGTGTTACAAAACCACATTATTTCAAAATAAACTTAAAAAGTCTGAAACATTTAAAAGTTATAGTGGTAGTGGCTTAAAAGGAATCTTTCTCATTGTAAACTTTTTTGCTTCAAATTGCTTCAACTCTTCACATACTCTTCGGTGTAAATAACTTTTCTGATGTAGTAATGGTTGTGACTGCAGAAGACACTGATGTGATGTTATGTCCTGAGGCACTGTCAGTCTGTCCAAATAAAGTACTACTTGAACATGAGGCAGAAGTTGCTATTGCTGCATTAAAAGTTCCAAGGGCTGTAAGCACAGTGTTACTTGAAGAGTTCACCACGGAAGAATTGCCAGACAAGGGCATCACTCCAAATGCAGGAGGATTACAACCAGCAGAAATGCTCTCAAAAACTGGAGCAATTCCAAACTGTGATGCACTGGCAAGACTGGAACTCACTGTAAAGGAGAAACTGGTGGCACTGTTCCTGTGGCAGTTCACAGGAAAGCTTGGCAGCCCAAAGTTTGGTGTTTGCTGTCCTCCAATCCAAAGGAAGGCAAGGGTTGAGTGACTGTGTTCTTTAATTCAGATAGCAAAGCCACTTTTGTTGATGCATTTAAAGCTTCCAACTGAGGCAACTGATTTGTCCATTGTCCATTTGGTTGGACAGAATTTATATAGTTCTGAATGTTATTGTTTGCTCTGCAGTTAAAACACTCCAGATGGAACTGTTCTGGAGAGAAATCTGAAAAGCCCGAGACATTCAGCTTTTCTTTCACTGTTGAATAAGATGAAACTGTCCATTGTCCTGAAGATTCTCAAATTTCCATGTCTGTCATACACATTCAAGATGTCTCTCCTCTTCATCTTTATAGCCATCAGCAGTATTTCGACTGTTTGTTAATACAGAGAATCTGTTCTGCGAGAAGTCCTTGACTTAGGGTAAACACTAAGCAACAACCAAAATATCAGTGTGTTATCAACATTATTCTCATATTAAATCTAAAACCACAGCACTGTACCAGCTACCAAGAAGAAAATTAACTCTATCCCAGCTGAAGCCAGATCTCAGAGGAGTATTACTTTACCCCAGTTCTCTGGGATTTATGTCACAGTGTCTGACACAAAAATAGTACCTGAATTGATGAACAGTGACTTAACTGAGGGTAAGATTCATCTGTCCTAATGTTAATTGCTTTGAAATTACTTGTTGAGCAAGAAAGTGATCTAGGCTCTTAATTGGTTGACTGAGAAAAAGACAGAAAATGACTCAGCCCATTCTGAAACAGGAGGTGCTGATGAATGACTGAGCAGAAAGATACCTATATCAAAAAATATTCCTTTGAGTATGGAGGAAATGGAGAAGACTTGCTTACTAAAAGTGTTGAGCTTCTGGACAGCTGAAGTGGTAGGAAACAAATGGCACCCCAGGTCTGCTATAAATCAGAGTTTGGGTTCCCTATGAATCACACTGAGAGTTCCATAATGTGATTGATTTTGAAGAGCGGATGGGATGTCAAAGGAGCGGTCCAGTTCTATGAACATAAATCTGTCCAGTCTTCCTTCTGCATGTGTGAATATTAAATTATTACCTATGTATGAAGGAGTTACATACCAAAATAGTCTGAACAATGTGGTAAACTTTAACTCTTTTGGTGTGTTTAAAGTAGCTGCAACCTAAAGCCCAGGCAGCTTTCAGAGATCTAGAGAGCATTCTGAAATGTTACCCTTTAATGTAAATTCAATATATAAATTTGAGGTGAAGAAAGCCCTTATGGATATATTTTATTTATATTTCTCTTCTGCAGAAAGGTAGCAGAGTTTTAGGCTGGGACAGGCTGTGCCCTCAGGGAGAATCTTCTTGTAGATATGCCCTGTACAGGCAAGGACAGAGCAGGTCAACTGGCAAGCATATTGCATATGTGCCTCACTTGGTGGAAAACTGGAAGTTTAATTGGGTTTTCCTCCTGCTGTTTTTTAACGATACTGAGCCTGTCACTATGCAGGGAACTTTGTATATGAAATATGTCAAAAGAAAATTAAGATAAGTGGCATCTTAGTGAGTTCTTTAATGCTCAGGGCATGGATGGCAAGTCTCAAAAGACTATGACAACAATAGAAATAAAATGTAAGAAAATAAGGCAAAAATTACCACACAATGTAGGTTAGTTATATGCAAATCAGGAAGCATTAAACATCATTATCCTAATATTTTTTAAGAAAGAAAACACAGAGCTCACAAAGAATGTTAGACTGCCTGGTCCCAGCGGTGACAAAAATCCTTTTCAATTCCCATGTGGCACCAGCAACAGTAATGTAGGTTTCTGTACACTCTACTCATAGTGTGTCAATGCCAACCTCAGGGGTTCTCCAGGAGATGCAATACAGTGACTTGAGCACTGGTCCAGGTCCACC